TGTTTTCTTCTCCGTTTCTGACGTCGCTCGGTCTGATGGTAAAGAGGGGGGTTCATGGTATTTGGCCAGTTTACGATGTTCTGGGCAAATGGTCAGTTTAACATTACACCCAGGGGGGTTCCTAGCTTGCATCTGCAATCCTTATCAGTGAACCCCCTTTCCTGCCATAAACCCCTGCTTGTGACTTAGAAGTCTAAACCCCCTACAGAAAAGATTAAATACAAACCCCCGTCTTCACATCTTTCTTCACTTGGAAATCAGGAAATCCTCCTCCGTTGGCTGTGCAAGTTTTTTTTTGTTGGAAAGAAGGACAGCTCCTTGAGACCGTGCGTTGATTACCGCAGTCTTGATGCTATAACGGTTAAGAACCGCTACCCTCTGCCTCTTATTCCCGCCACTATAGAATCTATCTAGCCACAATCTTCTCGAAATTTGACTGAGCGGCACCTACCATCTCATCCACATCCGCGAGGGCGACGAAGGGAAGAAGGCTTTCATCACCACTCACGGCCACTATGAATATCAGGTCATGCCCCGGCCGTATTTCAGAATTTTATGAATGACATTTTGTGCGATATTATTAATAGGTATGTCCTGGTCTACCTGGATGATATCTTGGTCTTCTCTAGCACCCCTCAGGAGCACACAACCCATGTCCGGGAGGTCCTTCCTCACCTTATTGACAACAAGCTATATGCCATATTGCCTTTTACATGTGTCTAAGGTACCATTTCTAGGATACATACTTGGTGTTGAGATGGACCGTGCCAAGATGGAAGCCATAAGGGACTGGCCCACCCCCGAGAATTTAAAACAGATTCAGCGTTTACTGGGATTTGCCCATTTTTATCGCCGCTTTATTAGAGACTTCAGTTCTGTCGCGGCTCCCATTACCTCCTTGACCCGCAAGGGCCTCTGTCACGACAAGTGGATTCCTGAAGCTGACTGCACCTTTCGACACCTTAAGCACCTTTTCACCTCCGCTCCACTCCTCCGTCACCCTGATCCCTCGCTGCCTTTTGTCCTGGAACTGGATGCCTCTGCCCACGGAGTAAGCGCTATCCTATCCCAACATCATGGGGACAAGGGTACCCTTCATCCCTGTGCCTTTCAGAGGGGCCTGGCAAGCTTTGCATTCCAGTGCTGAGGCCAGGTGGCCTGCCATCTCCTCCTGGCTCCAGCCATTGGTCCAGTCTGCCAGCTGGAATTGCACCTTAAAGGTCTCCCATGGCGCTTCTTGCTGTAATGCACTAGTGTCAGAGGTCACAGGGGCAGAAGGCTGGCTTCCGGTGAGGGTGCTATGTTATGAAGGAAAACAGAGCTTCCACAGGCTGATTATCACACTTTATTGGGAACTAAAATGAAGAAATTAACAGAAAAAAAAGAACTGACACAGCATGTCAGCTTTCCCATGGGTCAGAGATAAAAAAAACTCCTACCCCACTAAACAAACCACCACAATAAAAATAAACACAAAAAGAACAGAAATTACAAAATACTGAATTATGCTAATGTAATTCTGTCTTAATGGGAGCCTTGTATTAGACTGTATTAGCACGTTTTGTTCCAAGGTAGAGAGAGGGACAAAATAATGAAAGGAAACAAATATACATCCCAAAGTTACAAAAATAATCCCTCAGATAATGATGCTCATCCTGCTGAATACATGAACTGCCGAAGCAGTGCAATAATCTCCTGGTGCAGTCTCTCCTGTTTCGGGTTAGTTTATATATATTAAACACAGCTGAACACAACACCAGGAATGAGTTTAACTTCACTTTTTACTTGAACAGCAGGTCTGTTGCCATCCTCTTACCCGCTTGCTCTAGGGAGCGTCTCACAATTACCACACTACCAGCGCACAAGGGAGTGTGTTAAAACTACCTCTCACGACACAGTCCCTCTGTGGACAGAGAATCGTCCACATGAAATGTCCAAACGGCAGGACAGAAGACAAGACTGACATGGAGCCCAAGTTTCTGTCCGTGAAGAAAAAAACTCGCCGCTGCCAGCAAACAGATGTAAAATCCTGGGCTCGGTTTAGGGTTTTGGGGTTTCATATGAAGTAAAACAGAGCTTCACTGGCCAATTATCACACTTTATTGGGAACTAAAATACAGAAAAGAGAAGAAAAAAAGAGAAACGGGCATAATAACACTTCTCCCTGGGTCACAGATCAAATAAAACTGCTCTCACACTAAACAAACCACCACAGTAAAAATAAACACAATAAGAACATAAAATACACAAAACTGAATATGCTGATGTAAACCCTGTCTTAAGGGGAGCCAGGTATTAGACTGGCTGTAGCTGCTCACAGACACAGCGCTGCCTACAAACTACAACTCCCATAAACACCCTGAGCCACTTCCTGACACCATCTACATCACAGTTCCTGTTCCGCCTGTCAGCGGTTCCCTCCCAGTTCTAGTACATGATTGTCACTGACATACAAGAGGAGCTTAAATGGGATTAGATCATTTATTTTCTACAAAATTAGAACACAAAACCCAGGTTTCCAAAGATACTGTATATACAAGTCAGGAATACAGCAGGCTCATACAAGGGTCTCTCTACCCCTCTCATACAGTACATGTTATTTTCCCCCATTTAAAACTTACATTATCTCACTACCCTCCTGAAGGATGCTCTATTCCCAACTTCTGTTCCCTCGACTCATCACATGATCACATCAACACAAATTAAACACTTAATATAAATAATATTACTAGTGAGACAAAGAGCTGGGAGACAGTCAGCCTGTGTTCATGAGTCAGTAACAGGTTAAATTTCCAGACTGACAGCAGGCAGCAGCACAAGGTCTTTACACTCATCCAAGGTCCAGAAGACAGGATAGATCTTCTCCCCCTGAGGGAAGACCATGTCAGTGAAAGTGTAGAGATGAGCTCTGGACTCCACTGTGTAAAAGGAGACCTTCCTCTCCTCAATATCCACACACACCCCCAGCTTCCTGGGCTGCAGACTTTGGTTGAGATCAGTCAAAGGTCTAGTGAGAGCATAGAAATCATGAAGGTAAGAGTACAGACACCAGTAACCCTGCTGGGGAGAGAAGATGAACCTCCCTTTCGTCAGTGCAGACTCTCTGGTCACTCCTATTCTCCAGCTGTTGTTCACCTCCACCTCCCAGTAGTGTCTCCCTGAGGTGAAGGCCTCCCTGCTCAGGACACAGCGCCAGGAATCAAATCTGTGAGGTTTGTCAGAGAGACTCTTCGTCTGTCCCAGTCTCACTCTCTTCCCATCCTCAGACAGGCTGAGCTCACAGTGAGCTGTATCAGGGTCCAGAGTCACAGCAGCTGGGGAATAAAACACAAACATCACAACAGGCTCCTGCCAATTACATTACAAATAAAGTATTCTGTCTATTCTGTGTATATAAGTACATTCTCTATACACTGTAGATGTATATATGGCACGTGAAGTGGCTTAACACCCAAAACACTGTTTTAACTTTCTACTTTACACAGAGGAATTAACCTTTATTTTCCCCTATAATGAATGGATATATAAGCATATCTATATGCTGTCCACTGATTCTAATTAAGCATTCTGTTCTTCAAATGACTAGCTACAACACTGCTGTTCATCAAGTCTTCTCTCTGAAAAAGAGATCTCTGGGACTTCACATGCTTCAGAAAATGAACACCATTTTTTGCTTTTTTTTTTTGCTTAGCAAGTTAAACTCTCTTTTCAATTTGCATTAAAAATAAATACATTTATAAAAGACACCCGACCTCATCTTGGCACAAAGAGCTCCTTAAGTTTAATGATGAGAGATGAGACAAGTTTGGAAACTGCAACCCTGAAGCCAACATGTTCCAACGGCCATAAACAGAGTGATCTCTCCATCTGCATTCTCAAAGGGGGGTTATGCGACTATTGCGGTTCTGCATGGGCTCGTGCCCTTACTGCTCCACCCTGCTGGTTAATCCCACAACACCTGGGAATGAACCTGGGTCTCCAGCCTCACACAACAGAGAACCAGCCGACTGAGCTAGAGGAGACCTGACAGCTGAGGTCCCCGTTATACGCAGGGAGGACAGTGACATCACCGTGCTGCAACCAGCTGCGCTACAGTTTCAGAAGTCCTATTGCTGAAACTAGAATTATTCTGAAACTAGGATCACATCTTGCCCCTTTTTTCATTGACAGGCTTGTTTCCATCTAATCCTCTCTATTTTTTTGCAGGTCTCACCTGAGTGCTCACTCTGTTTCTTTCCTGCTCCTGCCTCCTCTCCATTCCTGGCTTTTGTTCTCCCATGCTTCATCTTTACAGCTTTTCTTTTCTGCTCTTTTCAGCGTGGAATAAAAATTTACATTTTCTACAGATATTTTGCATCTAAATACATCTATTCTGTGTAGAATACAGTCACCGTGTCACACTAAGGAGATAAAGACCTGTCTGATATGGAAACACAGAAGCTAAATTTACTCATCCTGCCCCGTGAAGACCCTTCTGGGGTCAAATCTGAGATAAAAACTCCTAATCATTGTTGATAGTAGTGATAACGATGAACTGCTGTTGAAATGACGGATCTATTCTGAGTCAAACACACCTCTGAGTCCCTTACTGAACCCACATCACTGCAGCCTGTCTCAGTAGAGCTCACAGCTCTCAGATCTATTCCCCAGCCCAGTATACAAACTGCAGTGTGGAAGACTTCTGCAAATTACAATCTTGTGCAGATCAGCTGTGCAATATATTCTGTTTGCTTTTACAAATGTCCTTAAATTTACAAATCCTCCCTTCTCTGTGGGAGAAATCCATCCTTATCTCTATTCCAAAAACAGGCTAACTGAGCTTAACAGCTGCAGGCCTGTTGCTCTTATATCTCTCCCAATGAAAAGCCTGGAGAGAATCTTAAAACAGTACATCACAAAGAACACACAGGACCTTACTGACCTCCTGCAGTTTGCACACAGAGAACAGAGGGGGTTGCTGATGCAATCAGCATCTTGATCCAGCAAGCTCATTTGTAAGGATATTATTGGTTGACATTTCCTCTTGGATGTTAAGCACTCGGATGTTAATGTAAAGCTAAACAGTAAATTGATAAGATAGGTTCTAAACTTTTTAACAAAGAACTCAACAGGTCAAACTGGGATTCTGACATTCGCTGCACTCCCACTGGATCACCACAGGGCTGTGTTTTATCCCCCTTACTGTACATTTTGTACACTGACAATTGAGAGAGGCAAACACACAAACAGGCATCTCAATAAGGCTGAAAATGACACTGCTCATCTTATCAAGGGACCCAGTTAGTCTAACTGACTTTACTAAATGGTGCGACAAGTTCTTTTTGCAGTTAAATGTTTTGAAAAGAAAGGAGCATGTCATTGATTTTAGGAAAAATAAAACCCCCCTCCAACCTATTGTAATTAATGGTCAAACTGTAGAAATTGTCAATGACTACAAGTACATGGAGTTGAGACACATGCTGCAAGACCATTAATAAAAAATAGACGTCAGATAACACTTTTCTACAAGTCTTTTGCTGAAACTGTCTTTAAATACTGTCTTGCTTGCTGGTTTAGTAACATCAGTACCATTGATTGTAATAAGCAGGAAAAACTAATCAAAATAAGTAACAAATTAGTTAGAGCAAAACAAACCGCCTCAAATATCCTGTACAAACAAAGGGTGGCAAAGAAACCAAAGGATATTATCTCTCAGCCCCTGCACTGCGCATTCACACTTCTCCTGTGTGGGAGACGCTTCTGTGCCCCCGGAAATCTTTTATCCCCACTGCACTATTTTTCTTTCACATAATGTATCGTAAGTATTCTCTCCCTTATCGTGCTGTAACACTGTTGGACTGACTTCTTCCATCCATCCATTTTCCAAACCGCATTATCCCATTCAGGGTCGCAGGGAACCCAGAGCCTATCTCGGCAAGCAACGGGCACAAGGCAGGGTACAGCCGGGAAGTGACGCCAGTCCATTGAATTGTAACTCATGGATGACCTGGCGCCCAGTGTGGGACACAAACCCACTACCCTGAGATTGTGACTGTCATACTCTACCAACAGTGCTAGCCGAGCCCCACTGACTTTTTTGTTCGTAAAAGATTGTGTGTTCTATAAAACAAAATGAGACAATAAAGCTCGACTGAAATGCTGACAGAAAAACACCCCAACATGCTTCCTCTTCCCATGACTACTAAACCACCTGATGGTAAAGAGTCCCAGACTTTGGGAAAGTAACAGTCCACAGTCTTTCTGACTGGATCTGACAGCTCTGTCAGGACACACATATATCCCCCCTTTCCTGGGAAGAACCCCTCATTCCCAGATAAATACCCCCTGACTGAGAGGCTATAGGCATCTGCCCCAGACCCCTTGTTAACCAGACAGGTGTGGTGACACCAGCCCATGAACCTCAAATTACAGCTTTAAGTAAGTGTGTCACTTAAAATGCGTACATCAGAGTGTCCTGTAATTAATTCTGGCAGAGGGATCCCCCCCGGGCTAGTAGATTTTCTACTGGTACCCTTTTGGAGAAGCCTGCACAGTCCACTGTTCAGACATTCTTCCCAAAGAGACTTTCACTCTTCAGATTAACTCTTCTTCCTTCAGTCAAACTCAGGAATTCCAGGACAGGAGAATTCCTCTACTCCATGTCTCTTAGATACAATAATCACAAACAGAGACGGAGATACCCTGGTGTGCTGAACTCAGATTAACCCTTTACACCACATTTACCAGATTCATCTTAATCAGTACCAGTCACCCTCCATAATTCTTCCAAAATTGCTGTAAGTCTTTCCCTCTCACAACAATTTAAGGAGATCAGGCAGGGAGATGTGTCAGCATGTGTAGACTGCAGAGGAACAAGTAATAGGTTTATTCCATTCTGAAAAGAGAAGAGAGAAAACACAACGTTTTCGGCCGTGGAGCCTTCTTCAGGTGTGAGAAAGACAGGGCAGTAGGCAAAGGTAAAGTAGCGGGAGAACAAAGGCTGGGAGGGAGGAGGAGTGAGAGGCAGGAGCAGGGGACAGAAAGAGAGGCCAATCGAGAGGTGTGAAGTCAGAATAGGTGTCGAGAGGTATGAAATGAAACCTACAATGAATAGAGAGAATTTAGAAGAAAATTAGTCTGTCACTGAGAGAAGGGGAAAGGTGTGATCCAAGTGCAGGATAATTTTAGTTTCTGAAGTCTTTCTGATGTAGGAGTTAGGAAAACCAGGTTTGAGAACACAGACGAAGAGATTAGTGTAATCATGGCCATCAGAGATGAAATGAGAAACAATGGGCTTGGAGAGATCTTTAATCTTTAATCTTTAATCTTCACAGCCCTAACAGCTGCTAGTTATGATATTGGCTCTGTCAATATTGGCTTGATTCCTCCTGATATTCCACTATTATCCCAGACTCCAGGGTCACTGGCTTTGCCACATTCAGCCTGCAGCCCCTCATATAGGAGTGAGCAGAGACCAGAGCACATGGCCTTCAGAGAAACGAGTTTTCAACCCCTCCAGGAGACACTCTGGCTGCTAGACTGAAACATAGAATGGAGATAAAAATTCCCACCAGAAACATGAAACATGACATGGAAATCCATCTACTTCTGCTGACACCACAAATGACCATCTCACACTAAAGAGATCGTCTGAGACTAAATTCAATAACCCTAGACACCAGGATGGAAAACAGCCCCTGTGTCATCAAGAAGAGACAGTCCTACCTGCAGCACTGCAGATCCACTGCCATTCTGAAACACAGAGATAAAGACACTGTTAATCACAGACACACAATGGAGCACAGAGATACAGACACTATTAATCACAGTCACACACTGGAACACAGAGACACAGACACTGTTAATCACAGTCACAAATGTCAGTGCTGTCAGAGAGCAAAGTTTCACACAGTGTACATACGTGATTTAGGGATAGGAGCTCGCTTCACAGCATCTGCAAAGAGAGAGAGTAGATCTTTATTGTATTAAAGAGCTATGTTGCTTCTTGCTTGTTATTATAGCAGAGTTTATACTACAGTCTGCAGTCAGTCCATTTCAGGATCCCCAGTCTCCACTGCAGTGTGAATCAGAGTGTCAATGAGTGTGAGCAGCTGTCACGATCGTAACCCCTCCTCTTAAGGGCGCTCCAGCCCTTCCTCATTTGTATAATTCCTCCCACCTGTTCCTTGTTTCTTCCCTGTTTCTGTTCGCCTTTAAAAGACAGGCGCTCACTTCACCCGGCGCTCTGCATCTGATCCCTGCATCGTGCGAGCCCAGGACCTGGTTGCGCTTGGCTCTGTTATGTTTTTAACTTCCTGCTCCTGCTCCTGTCCTTGTTCCCCCTGCCGGTCCCGACCCGGCACCTGATTTTAATTTCTTGTTTGGATGGATTTCCCAGCCTTGGACCTTTTGCTTTCGTTTTTGGATTCCCCCTTTTGGATTTATTCTGGACTGATCGCCTCAGCCACACCTCCCCGGATCACCAGCACCGTATGGACACGTCCCCCTGTTTTCATCCCTGTTCCTGCATGACTTTTCCAGTGTTTCCTCACTATTCTGGATTGTGTCGTCCGCATAGGGTCCGGAAAGAACTGTTCGTTACAGCAGCAGTGGCTGTAAGACTGGAGTCTTACCCAATAAGACTGAGCAGCACAAGGCAATAAGACACACAGACACATCACAGGACACCCTGCAGTCTGGTGCTTGACCCATCGAGAGAGATAAGACATAAATGCTGAACACTGACACTACAGTCCAGTAGAGAGTCAGGCCGGTCTGAGGATCTTACCGATTTCTGCACGAACGACTGGAATTCCTGGAAAATAATAATGAATGAATTATACAATCCGGCTGCATTTTTAAGCTTTCAGTGCATTTTTAAGTTAAGTATTGCTCAGAATGCTCAAATTTTCATTAATCTGAGTGCAATACAAATAAAAAACAATTTCTCAGTGTGACCTCCTGCAGAATAACTATGGAAAAAACTTATTTACTCACCATATACTGCCATAATATAATATAGTTCAGATTTCCACAGTGCCTCCTGCTCTGTAAGAGACAGACAGATTCAGTAACACTGTAACTGGTACTGGTCTGATGTATCCAATTATAACTCCAATTATAACTTTCAAACCCTGTATTTACTGCTGCACAAGGGATTTTGATGGAACAATTCCTGAGAAGAAAACAAGAGGCTTCAAACTGACTCATCTACATAAGCACTCACAGTGGGACATTCTGAGAAGATGGCCTCCTGGGGTGTCCAGTTTTAGACATGGTGTCTCCAAGAGGAGGTGTCCTGTGATGCTTATAAACTGTCACACAGAAGACCAATAAATCCTAACACAGACATTCAGATATAGATATAAATATATTTGCAATGGGCACATACTGTCCATTCTTCTCCACTGGATCACCAGAAGTACTGATGCTGCTACAGTAACAGCTGCTGTTAGGAAGAGAGCCACCATCCAGCCAGAGGGAGCAGGGAAATAATCTCCTGGAAAGCAGAAAGAATAGCTATTTTTTATTCCGAGTAATTTGAATAAAAGTAGCGCCATAGTGGAGAATTGCCTTGGCAGCCGACCACACCCCCTCTCTCCTGACAATGGATAAGCAATCAGACAAGACTCCAGCTTTGTTGGACCATGATTCTGGACTGCGTTTTACCCATTCACTGCCTGTCCCCACTCCTGTGTGTTTACTGCACACACCACACCGCCTGTCCTCACTCCTGTGTGTTTACTGCACACAC